CCCTTGTCGATTTTGGGTTAATCCCACCTTTAAGCCCAAATACTGGTATCACACCAGACTTCAATTGCATACACCACCAAACGTCAACGCATAACTGGCTATACTTCATCTGGCATGACACATTTGAACTGAAGTTGCAAATAACAATGATTCACATCCCTTAGGGTACACAAATTGGTTGTTACTGTGAATAATCCCTCGTGGTGGCAATATCACCATTGTCTCAATTCCATCGACTTGTTCGATTATTGTAGTATATATTATGGTCTCCCGAGTTCACGGGTGAACCTACCGAAAATTGACGTTTCCCAAGGTTACACGAGTACTACCATGATGGAATCATGAGGTCCGAGTTTGAATCGTCCATTTAAAGAGGGGAGATATAACTACGCTTAAACCAACCCACGGTCATTTTCAATATGAATCCAGAGAAATCGCAGGATCTTGAAAACGAGGAGGAGGAGGAAGAAGAGAGTCCCGCAGGTGTAAGAAAACCTGGTTCCAAGGCTCAGGGTAGGAAGCGCACGAAAACGGGATGCTTAAGTGAGTCTAAGCCGCACCAAAGCTAGGTTTGTGTTTGAAATGACTGACATTTCTACCCTGCTTTTAGCATGTAGAAAACGACGGATCAAGTGTGGGGAGGAAAAGCCAACATGTCAAAATTGTTCAAAATCCAAAAGGCACTGTGAGGGCTACATCCAGCGAGTTGTGTTCAAGGATCCTTTGAGTGCAACCCGGGGACCATTTGCCAATTCTTCCCAGGCAACTTTCTCATCGGGATCTGGTCGGTCAAATCAGCGTCGTGTTGAGGCCCCAAAACCTTCTACTCTTATGCAAGTTCAATTACCAAATCTTGCACCGAAACCAGGTGACTCGGGCACATATCATAGCCCTCCATCTAGACCGCCCAATGAGACAAATCAAGGATTTGAACAAGCCATACACGTTTTCTCCGGTCGCGCGACTCAAGACGTAGTAGTCCAAAGGAGCACCTCTCAAGAAACCCCAGAGACAAAATCAGCCCAAAGAGATACCGTGGATCGTTCATACCTACCAACTCCCGAACACAGATCCCCTCCAGGTTTAGGGCCTACTCACTATGATTTTAATGCTCTCTTTGAGCAACAATCACCGCTTGGGAATTTCCCCGTTATGCAGTCCAGTCCCTCTCCATGGATTGTTGACCAGAATAGTACACCCCATGCCTACCCTCAAAAACATACACAAAATACAAATCCACAATTTTCGCTTCTCTCGCCACCTATGGTGACCACTCAGAGTAATACAAGCTGGCAACAACCGGCCTTTTCTCACCCACCTAATTTGAAATCAAGTATGTCACATGTCCCACTCACAAACCAAGTGACACCGATTATAGAAACAGCATATACACCTCCCTTTGACATGGCACAGCAGGCCAGTCATATATCGGATGAAACCTTTTCACATCGCACGGTCTCAAGAAAACCAGACGATCATACCATCGACAAGAAGAACTATGCGACGATTGAACGGGGAAATGAACGCACATTTGACGATGATGAAATGAGCCTGGATAATGATCAAGGGGCTGATGACTACGAATATGATACTTCCAATGCTCGGAACATGGACTATGGCATTGGACAAGTGATTGCCCTCCAAGCTCGACAGAATGCACAAGATCAAAGTCTTCGCTCTTTTACCTCACTGCTCGATCGATCTAATATGCTATTGGCTTACAATCCTTCACTACGGTCATCTCCACTCAATGATAGTATGACGGCTAAAATATTTTGTCATTTTATCAATGTGACTGGACCGAGTATTTCAATGTTCGAGCGGAATCCTGCCAATCCTTCTTTGATATTTCGGGGGACACCCGTGCCATCTTCTCAACAACATATCTGGACTTACACGTTTCCCATGCTTGCCTTGAAAAATGAAGCGCTTCTCCACGCAATACTCGCTTGCGCCAGCTTACACATTGCAAAACTGCAAAACACTCACATAACCGCATCTTTAAAGCACTACGCAATTGCTTTACGAAGGATTGCAAAGAGCGTATGCGTGCCTGGACGCCGAGAACATCCTGCTACTTTGGCTGCAACAATGCTGCTTGCGTTTTATGAGTGCTGGTGTGCTGATCATCAAAAGTGGAGTAACCATCTGCTTGGGGGAAGGACCCTTGTGAGAGACATCGACTTCACTGGCATGACTCGCCATCTGAAGGACATGCGGGCACAGCTGCGCCAAGAAGACCGTGAGCGCTATCGTCAGGAGCAGATACATATGGGTAAAACATTTATTGAAGAAAAACGTAAATTCGCAGCCTCATTAGAAGATGTGGACGAAAATATTGTTGGTGTATTGATGGGCCGAAGACTTCGTTACGATGACTTTGGACACATTATCGATGAAGTTTGGGAGAATACCGAAGACAGAATTTATAGCCCCAAGGATATTGAAACTTATGAAATGCAACGCGACCTTGTGTGGTGGTACTTTAAACAGGACGTTTACCAAAGTATATTAGGTGGAGGAAAGCTCTTCGCTGAGTATGATCGATGGAGTCTTTGCCCTCCGCGTGCACCACTAGGTCGATTAGACGCAGTTTACGGCACTTTTGATCATCTCATTCTGTTGATGGGACGACTTGCAGATTTCGCTGCCAAAGACTTGAAGAGGAAGACGTTAGCAATGAAAGCTGCGAACAACCCTATGAGTAATCAAATGCCAAATTTTGCAGGCATGGTACCAAATGTTAAGGAGCCAACTCTTCCTATGGGATTTTCACCAACGCATTCTTCGTCTCCTCAAAGCTCAGAGGGCGGAGATATGGATCTTGAGGCTCAAAGGCTTGAGGCAGAAGAAGAGTGGCAGGATATCCGCAATGCATTCAGTGTACTTGAAGATCATTTTGGTGAAGACTTTCAACCTTTAGGCGACGAATTCTCGACCCCAACTCAAACTCCCTTTGGCCCAGCTTTACAATACCGAACTTATGGTATTGCTGGCATCTGGATGAACTATTACATGGGTCTTATTTCCTGTCATCGATCTCATCCTTCTATGCCACCAGCAGCAATGGTAGCCGCAGGCATGGCGGCTCGTAAGACAGCGTTCTTTGCAAACGAGCTCGGTCGCATCGCTGCTGGCATTGCACCAGACCTAAGCATGACACCTCAAGTCAATCCAGGAGTTGGTGCAGCACTTATGGAAAGTACAATCTGTCTCTTTCTGGCGGGCGTTCAAGTAAGTCTGTAATATCTGAGTACTGTAATCTTGTACTGACCATTTGTAGTTTCAAAACCCGGACCAGCGGACATGGCTAATATGCCGGCTTAACGATGTGGCTCGTTTGACGGGTTGGGAAACATCACTTGCTAGTATGTAACTTCTTCGTTCTCTATGAACTTGATGTCTCTACCTTTACTAATATATTTCAAGTCGCTTCCGGTTGCGAAACATCTTGGGTCAAGGCTGGAGAAATGGGGAGAGGTCCACCGTACACAAGGACGAGAGACGAGCGAGTAAGTCCACAAGTAGTGAATGTTACACGCAATGGGGAAAGAGTTGCGATGCAACAGCAGCAAGCAACTGATCAGGGATTCGTGATTAGTACTCATCAGAGAATTCATTATGCGATTGGTATTTTGGGTGTCCAAGATGATCTGAATAATCTTGACTTGAGATAAAAACCAACCATAGTCAAATGATATTCACCCTTTACAGAGTCCGAGAGCCGAGACACAAATGAACGAAACGTCGCCTGAACGATGGATGTTTGGAAACAAATTTAACAATGCGACTTGAATCCGAAGTCGTCCAGAGTCATGTTGGAACGAGACCAACGGCTTGGTATAATGACGCTGTCAATAATGGTATCGACGGTCGTCGCAGAAAATGATTGGATAGCTCGTGCTCGAGCCTTGGGTGTCCAATATCTTTTAATCTAGGCCATGAGTTTGAGATGGAGAGCAAGATTATGAATTAGGTTGGATCGAGTATGGGATGATGCCTTTCCTGAGATGAGATCGTGCATGATACGGATCTCTGAATTAGATGAGCTTGCATAAGCCAAAGAGTTTCAGAACTCATACAGTGTTATTCGTCAACACAAATAATAATGTCATTTGTAATACTAATTTGGAAATGGCGTAGAGATATTTATTACGCATCCATGGATCAGTGTGATTTTATCTGTACCGATATTTGTGAGATTATGGATGAAGGATTTCGTGTGGCCAGGTAGTGAATATTAGAACACCACACATTTCCCAAATGAGGCCGACCGTCTCCGGATTCAAGATATTCTTGTTATCACCCAAGTCCAAATCTGATAATCAAGTGGTCCTTCATGCTTCAAATAATCAAGTAATCTGTCGGGACCTCGAAGCCCTGAAGTACATTTTGCCGTCTACGTTGAACTTCGACACTCGCATGCTCTCAGACGTTTTGAGACTTCGTCAAAAGAACTACTCTTCACATTTCTAATCATTCATTTCGATATTGAAGTCTCATGTCATTTACGTTGTCTGAAAGTAGAGTCGAGGAGAAAATTCCATATTTCGATTTCTTTGGTTTCGTGAAGTAGTCTACAATGAGTTTAAAGGCGCTTTCATTGACGGGAGTTCGGAAATCACACCACATGTCAGAAAGCTGTACGGAAACAACGACTTCTTGACTAGTGTATGTTATCTCCTCTCATGGACTTGAGGAAGGGGAGAAGAATTCCAAGTTTGGAGATCTGGTAGGTAAGTGGAATGGACGGAATCACTTCTCTCGATTTCCAAACTCAGAAGCGGAAAACCAAAACGTCATCAGCCCTTGGATTATTTATCAACTCATCACCAAATAGTATGTCTCGACATTGAAGTTGTGGTAGTTGCAAACAACGTGCTTGCTTCATCAAGCAGGTTGGCACGGTGCACTTCGAGTAAACAAATATACCACCTCATCTTTTAAAACCTCCAGAATCATTTTTTGGTTGTTCAACTTACAACCTAGCAATTTAAAACATGTTTTTCGGCAAAACTACCGGGAAAAAGAAGACTGGAGAGCAAGGCTCTAGTCAAAATGAGATCCCTAATATGGCCCAGTGCTTGGCTGCCAATCGAAGCAAACGCGACAACGAGCATATAAATGCGATGACCTTTCAAGATGAATACTATCGGGACCGTCTGCGAAATATGCAGGCCACCTACAAAGTTAAGCTAGACAGTTTCCCTGGTCTAGGTTACATTTCACGCATCAAACTGATCTGGGACCATGATCGTCTCTTGGGTACTTTTGAATTGGACGTTTTCAAAGGTTCTTTACTTATTGATCCTGGTCCTAGTCAAGAGCACTTCAAGGCAGATATTGAATACTCAAAGTTCCACGAGGCACGAGCAAAAGATAAGGAATCGAGTGAAGAGTCTGGAGACGATAATGATGACGCAGATGATGGAGATGATGAGATTGCTACTACTCGAGAGTATCGTTTCAAATGGCGTGGCATAAATTCAAAGATACCACACAAGACTTTCAATTCTTCCTTTACTGTCGGCAAGATTCGATTTGGCAATGGCAAGATTTGGGGACACTTTGACGCAATGTCTGGTGTTGGCTTTCCAGGTAGTCGTTGTGAATTTCATGGCAAGATACCTCACGGTCCTTGTCTTGTGGATATGTCTATTCAACAGTTTCTTGATAAATGGAATGGATATGCGGAGATTGAGGAGGATGAAGAGCCACGATCTCCTACTCCAAGATCTACAATGACAAGGTCACACACTGAACGTGATGGTGCTGGTTCAACACCTTCACCAAAGGGTGATACATCACGGGTTGAGGAATGGACAGAGGATGATCAACAGAGTTTTGTTGATATGATTACAGGTATTTATGATATCACTAGTAGGGAGATAGAAGAGGATTGGTCGTCAAAGTCGAAGGGTTTGATGGTTCGTCTTCACGTGGACCAGCAACAGGGAAAAGTGATGGGATTTTTTGACATCGGAATAGTTGAGGGTTTCTTCTGCTTGGATGATGGACTCGAAGACCTCACACACAACGATTCAATGGGTTTCACATGGCACGGAAAGGGAACATTCTCTGGATCATCTGAGAAAGGCACTGGTACGATTAGCATTCGAGCACGAGGAGGCAGAACAGTAGAAGGTATATTTTGGGGTATGCCTGATAAGAATGATGGCGAGATAGATTTCCGTGGTACAAAGCGAGTTCTCCCAATGGGAGTTTCGGGTCGTGGTGCGGGCTATTATCGTACGCAATGGGCAGAGTATTCGCGTTTTGGACTGGATGTTCCACAGCCAACTCCTCACAAAGGACGATGGGGAGTCAGACAGGAGCTTGCTAAGAGAGTGAGCTGGAACCGCTCTGGGGATTCTGCCAAAGAGAGTGGTGCTCTGAAGAAAGTCTCTGGATGAAGAATGGTTATGATGGGTTTGTACTATTCTTACGAATCATACATTATAGGGAAATGTTGGCATCGGCAAGATTTTTAGATCTTCGTAGGCCCAATAGATGCATTAGATTAGATTATTAGACGAGAAACATTAATCCAGATTATCTTTGTACAGTGTGTTTATTGTTTGTGATTGAATACTGCTGTACATGTGCAGGATTTATCTAGCCATGATTCGATATCCATCACCATCATGCCATGAATCTCATGGACATTGAATTGAATGCAACCAATCAAGTTCTCTTGTTGGTTGTGATTATTTAGCTGGGAAATGGAAATGGATATGCGAGAAACTAATTTAGCTAGATAGGTAGGTAGGTAACTAACTGTTGGGAAGTTGTATGTATGGATTGAAGAGAAGAGAAGAGATGGGGTTGTGAGGGTGAGGATTGATTATTAGGTAGGTAGAGGTAGGTAGAGGTAGAGATGTATTAGGTAGGTATATTTGTATTAAGGTATATAGATAGGTATATATGTAGGTATATGTGTAGATGAATATATATATAGATGAATATATATATAGATGAATATATGTGTAGATGAATATATGTATAGATGAATATATGTGTAGATAGATAGATAAATAGCATTCCATCCAATCCAATCCAATCCACCATCTTCGAAATCTCAACCCACCTCTTTAATACAAACCTCCTGATACACAGAGTATAATATTCGCACATATTCGCACATATGAAAAAGAGACGGACAATCTACCAGTATATAATTCCGAAATCTAAATGTAAACCCGAAATATAAATGTAAATGTGGAATCACTAATGTGAGATGCAGTATTGTACATAGTGGACAGGATCGATAATTGTGATGGTACCTAACTTGGAAGAATATGGGGAGGGCGTGGCGCGGCGCGTCTTGCATGTAATGCTGTCTGCGCGTGTTCTGAACGATGGATCACGGATGGAGTACCACGTGAGTACTTAGGTAGTGTACACGTTTTGGTGTGGGTGAGATGTGGATTGGATGGATGGATGGATTGCGTGTTTAGATGCAGAGATTTTTATTTTTATTTTTGATTTCATTGGGAGGAGGAAAATAGTTATGGGATTGTTATGTAGGTATGGGGTGGGTTAGTTGGAGGTTAGTAGGTAGGCGCAGGTTTTGACTACTGTAGGTAGGTGGCTCGGGTGGGTAGTGAGGTAGGTAGGTAGGTAGCCCTGGAGGTATCTGGGATTGCGCATGCGTATGTGAGCTAAGGAGTGGATGAGCATGTACGGTTTGTTCGGCTTGTGTGTGTGTTTGTTACTATGTATAACGATGGGCTTGATACGAATGGATGGATGGATCATGGATTGCTTTGGCGATTCTGGAGGGCTAGCGAGGTGTTGGGGAAAACGAAAACTCGTATTGGATTGCATTTGGATGGACTCTGTCTGCTGCTGTGAGGTGGTGAGGTGGTGATATGTTGGATGATGTTTTGGGATGAATGGAATGGTGAGGGGCGAGGATGCTACCTAGTATTCACTCGACGTGTGTTGAATTAGATGTGAATATGCATAGGATTTATTAAATGTACCTAGCGAGCCTACCTAGGTAAAGGTATCTGTATCTCGTGATTTCTTATGGTTGGAAGAGGTTTGATAGATAGATTGAATGGGTAGGTAGGTGGTAGGTAGTAGGTAGTAGATAGTATACAGTGTCGTGAGGAATTAATTCGACACTGTTCAGACGCCAGAGTGTAATCCAAGAAGAGAAGAGAGGAAGAATGATATGACGGGACATGATCATATACTTTTCCTCCCATCCTTGCTTCGCGTTGCTGGACACACGGGTGTTCCGTTCTCCGTCTATCATTTATTTGTGGCTCTCGGCGTCCTCGAGTTCATGCAGGGAATGTTGAGTAGAATTGATGTGATTCATCCAATCAAAATTGATTAATGCAGATGAAACATACGTAACCGATTAAAGGGGCACTCACTTGCTTGGTGTAGGTAGCTAGGTCGTGTAGGGAGGACGTGACTTGGTAGGAAGATGATGATAATCCATCGTCTCATCTGTTCCGAAATCAAGTCCACTGATTATTACGGAGGAGATCAAACCTTGGAACCCCTCCTCGCTTCATATCGAGAGAGGATCGACTTTGAGGTTTTGGGATAGATGGATAGATGGATAGATGGATACCATTGATACATCCAACCTCCTGTGTAAAATTACTTTTCGTCGTGGGTTCTCTAGTCGGTGGTTTCAAGGGAGAATGTTAGTGATGATGACATCAATTTGGATGTTCGTAGTCATAGGGATATTCATTGGGATAGGGCATCAGCACGATAACCTAACTTTTCTTTTCTTTTTGTTGATTAACATGTATAACATGTGTGAGATTAGCTGGTAGGTCTGTATTGTAGTTATTAGATACCTACCTAGTAGCTACGATATATGGGGTTGGAGACTATTCAGATTCGGATTCACTTGATATGATATGAATGATCGATCCTGTCTATATACATGGGTATGACCTACTTAGATAATCCTGTCATACCTGTCATAGCATAGTCTGGAATTTCAAATCAGACATGAACTGTAACATCATTAGCGCCATAGATACGGAGTCAAAGTATGAGTATCATCTCATATCTAATTCAATCTTTCCATTCGAGTATCGTTGCCGTACATCAAACTTGAGATTTCTAGATTCTATATATATACTAGATACATACCTATGTATACCTCCTATGGTATACCTCCAATGTATGCCTCCAATGTATGTACGATATAGCTAGATACGGATGATGTACCATGTCATGTTGTATATCTTCTCGATCCACCATACTTCTAGCATAGCCTCCTATCATTTTGATTCCACATGAAATCTTGATTGGACGATCAAGTATTGATTGATTTTATTACTCTGTCTGTACGATAGATTATCACAAGAGCACAAGAGCACGCAAGAAAGAGAGAAAAAACCTGTTAATAAAGTTTCTAATAAACCCAGTCAACTTATCAAGCCAGTCAAGCCAGTCAAGCCAGTGATGTACTTGATAACCTTAGCTTAAAGCGTGCCCGCCCAGCCCCTCGACTAAAATGTCAAAGGAATAAACTTCTCGAACGGCCTGAATTAATCTTATCCACCCAAAAGGCAAAAGGCAAAACCCTCACAACCCTCACAACCCTCACGATCTTCTAGAGTTTCCCAAGCTTACGTTCTAGCTACATTTCCACCGGAAAATCGTAATATCCAGTTAAACAATCCACTTTGCGACTTTCTTCCTCTTCATGCTTCATGCTTCATGCTTCATTCACGCTTCATTCGGATTTTATAAATTATTCTTTTAATTGAAGGATTGATTCAATATACCATCTTGCATGATTCAAAGCGCAAGGACTCGAGAAACAATAACAACTTGCTTGCCTTTGCCTCGACGCACTTGGTTCAAATATATCCCAAGAGCAACAACATCTTTGCACACGCAATTCAAAGAAGAGAAAACGGGACAATACTAATAACAAACTCATTTGCTGTTGGCTCTACTCTCTGTCTGCTTTATGCCGAGAAGATCCTCCCGCTCGAATTCTCGCAATCTCAATAATTAACTACAAATTAACTGCGACACCTGTCGGCGCGCATAATTCCTCAATAATCAAGGAATATCACCCACCAATTTACCTCTACATGAAATCTCAACCATAACCACGAAACTTCTCCGAACGACTAATTTCTCAATTGTAAAGGGTTATCCCTATTCGATTTACCTCCTCCAAGACCGAATAAACTTCAAAGATCTCTATTGAGCGACATACAAAAAACTTCAAGTCTCCATATCCTTCCTAGGCGGATTTGCCGCCGACTCCTCCTCCATTATGGATCAAGCCGGGCATGCTCTCCTGGCTGCGAACCTCATATATGCTAGAGCAAATACGACAAATGGCACAACCACTACAGATGCCGAGACCGAAGTTCGACCACCTATATATAAGGCTATTGGAATTTCATTGGCTGTGGCGTCAGGAGTATTCATCGGAATATCGTTTGTGTTGAAGAAGATTGGATTACTGAAAGCCAATGAAAAATATAATGAGGAAGCAGGAGAAGGATATGCGTACCTTAAGAATGCCTTGTGGTGGTCTGGTATGTCTCTCATGATTCTTGGAGAAATTTGCAATTTTGTGGCATATGCATTTGTGGATGCCATTTTGGTTACTCCGCTGGGCGCACTCAGTGTCGTCATTACCACTATCTTATCCGCAATTTTCCTCAAGGAACGACTGAGTATGGTCGGAAAGGTTGGATGTTTTCTATGCATTGTTGGATCTGTGGTTATTGTCATGAATGCGCCAGCGGAAGCTTCGGCGGCGACAATTCAAGAAATGCAGCATTTTGTGATTGCTCCGGGGTTTCTGAGTTACGCCGGTGTCATCATCATCGGGTGTACCTTTCTTGGATTTTGGGCTGGACCACGATATGGAAAGAAATCCATGCTTGTGTATTTGTCAATTTGCAGTTTGATTGGAGGGCTTAGTGTTGTTGCGACACAAGGTTTGGGAGCTGCAATTGTCACTCAAATTGGTGGTACAAAACAGTACAATCAGTGGTTCTTATACGTCCTCTTCGTCTTCGTCGTTTGCACACTTTTGACGGAGATTATATATTTGAACAAAGCGCTCAACATTTACAATGCGGCATTGGTAACTCCTACATATTATGTCATGTTTACGAGTTCTACCATTGTCACTTCAGCCATTTTGTTCCGAGGGTTCAAGGGAACTCCAACCTCTATAATTACGGTCGTTATGGGGTTTCTGGTTATTTGTTCTGGTGTCGTCCTTCTCCAACTATCGAAATCGGCCAAAGATGTTCCCGATGCTGCCATTTTCGCAGGTGACCTCGATCAAATGCGCATCATTGCCGAACAAGAACAGCCAGAAACTGAGCCCAAGGCAGATGCCATCAGAGGAACAGCAGCTATTGTTAGAAAATTCTCTTCAGCTAGACAAAAGATGGAAATGGAGGAAGCTAAGAGGCTTCATGAAGAGTCTCACTTGGAACCACTTGGTGAAGATGAAATAGTTGAATGGGACGGTCTCCGAAGACGTAGAACTACCATTGGTTCGAACTATAGCGCGAGCATGAGATCTCGTGCTAATTCATCTGTTCCTCCTCTACCCGAAAATATGCACCATCAACCAACTCATCGAACAACTCTTCCTAGAACACCTATTGCTCATCCACCTCTTGGTATGTCTCATTTTCCGGATCCAGAAGAAGATCGCGACGAAGAAGATCGTCCAGGTACCGGTCTTAGTTCTTCCATCTTTGGCACTATTCGCAACCGCGTAGCTCGTGGCAAATCTCTTTCTTCGGGCACAAATCCTGCTGTCAACCTACAAAGTCCTACTCACCCTGTTCCCTTGACCGATATTCGTACCTACAGAGGCGGTGATGGCGATATTTACAAGAGCGAAAATAGCGATGAAGCTTACTACATTCATGATAATCATACTTTAGGTTTACCACCTGCTTTGCGTGATCAGAAGACTGAGTATACTGGCTCGGGAGGTAGACACATTACTATTGCGGATGATCCACACCGTCCAATCTCCAGAGCTAGTAATTTAGTTCCTCCTACACCCCCACCTCACTCTGCCAAGAGACAATTTTCATTCCAGAATGTCTTCAGAAAGGGTGGAGGACCACAACAAACTGACGGACCTCCACAAGAAGTCCGTTCGCCTGATAGAAAACGTATGGGTTCTCGACATGGAAGTGATGAGGTTGTTAAGGGTGCAACCGAAGAAGAAAGATTGGGACTCGTCAAAGGCGATACGAGAACACAAAGTCCATCGGGTACATCTAGTACTCCTTCTTTCGATGAGGATCTTGAAGAATTAGAACCATGGAGTTCTGAGACCAAGGGATTTAGAAGAAATCGTTCTCCTCCCAGAAGAGATCCTGCGTTGGGAGAAAAGGGTTCATTTCTTTAGGGGATACAAGGATGGACATATGGGATATGATGGAATGATATGAATCATGTGGAGTTTTGGCGTTTGCGAATACCTAAGAAAGTTTTCCTTCTGGTATTATTATTTGTTTGGTTAATCGATTGATTGGATGGATGGATGGATGGTTGGGTGGATTATTATTACTGCAAGTGTATAATCACAAGCTTTGTATATTGAAGAAAATGGGGGGAGGGCTTGCCTAGAAGGCGATTTGGATTTGGGAAGAAGGATGGAGGATGGAAGATGATTGGAATTATTCGAGGAAGTGACTGGGAGGGAGAAAAGAAACCTATGATACCTACCTAGAAACTATTATGAACTCGGTTGTAATCGTACCTAGGACTTCTTCTTACCTGTGATTGATATGTGTTGCTTCATAGACGGAGATGCTATGTGATGGGATTTTGTGAATAGAATGTGTGTGTGTGTGTATGTGTGTATGTGTGTGTGATGTATATTTTTTAGCGGGAAAGGAGGGGGGTGAGGTGTACTGTGATATTCAATAAGGCAGGTAGGTAGGTAGGTAGGCATTGGGGGTTTATAAGAGCGATTTACTTACTTGCTGATTGGTGGAGTGGAGATGGGATGGGATGGGATGGGATGGGATGGGATAGAATAAAGAGTTTGCGGATAGAGAGATATGTGAGCGAGTGGGTTTGGAAATAAGTGAGTATCTATAATATCTACGTAGTGGAAAATGGAGAGGGGAAGTGGATAAATGGAGAGGGGAAGTGGGAAAATGGAGAGGGGAAGTGGGTAAATGGAGAGGGGAAGTGGGAAAATGGAGAGGGGAAGTGGGAAAATGAATAAAATAAAAGTTTGACTTATTCTTGGGGTAGGTGGGTGGGTAGGTAGGTGGGTGGATAGGTAGATGGGTAGGTGTAGATACAGAAGGAGAAGGGGGTTGTAGGATGATGAGAGCCTGTAGGGTTTGGAAAGGGTGGGTAGAGTGAGGGGATTCTGGATGGGTTGATGCTGATTGCTGAGGATGTGAGATTTGGGGTGTGAGATTTGGAGTGTGAGATTTGGAGTGTGAGATTTGGGGTGTGAGATTTGGGGGAGGTTTGTGGGGAGATTGTTGAGGATGTGGTTGAGGATGTGGTTTGTTTGTTTGTGTGTATCTACTTAGATAGATATTGAAAGCTCATTCTTGTTGTGTACGGAAAATTTTCTTCCAGAGAGAATTCTGAAGTACATCGATAGATATTCGTTTTGAAAAATGAAAAGAGAAGATTTGGTGAGAGGGGGTGAACGGGAAATGAATTTCTGGAGTTTTGCTTTTATGATGCGGATTTGGAAGGGGGGGGGGGGGGGGTAAGTAATAATTGCTAGTGAATATCTATTCGAGTCTTTTTGTTATTGAGTATCGATGTAGTTTGAATGGTTTGTATTGCTGTTATTGTTGTCGTCGTCGTTTAGATATTGAAGAGTTTTGTATATATTAGGGTAAAAACGATGAGCGGTTATATCGTCAGTTTCGCGATTATACAAAGAGTGCTGTCAAACAAGTCTTTATTACAATTCCATCTTATCAAAGTTTGTATAAACACTTTAGTAGGATTATCGTTTCTTCGATCAAGTGTACGGGGGTTTATATATACACCGGGAAGTCTTCTGGGTAGCTAGCTATTCCGTATAGAGTAATGTGGAGTGTGGGTTAGTAGGGAATAGTCTTAAGAAATAGAGTAGAAAGGAAATCCCGATCGCATCCTACCTCAATGATTCTCGCTGCTATAGTTCATCTAGAAGAATACATATGCTAATGCGTTTCTGTAGATCTTGGTAGAAGCGAACTTGAGATTAACCATTAAGCGAACTTATTTACTACGAGCAATCCATAGCTAGGTGTTAGTAGTCTCTGAATACTTTTTGAGTATTAAGTATAGTGTTATAGATTACCTATCGACTTATCTAGAGGGAAGATGTAGTGCATAGTGTAGAATTTGACATCTGAGTAATGATAGAGTAAGAAACAGACAATTATGAACTCGTCAGTTATGGAGAAGCGTAGTCTCAAGCTTTTGATATTGTTATGAGTGATGTAATGGGTAGGTACTATTAAGGATGCTCCTTTTTCTGATGTTCATTCATTATTTTCTTGCTTTGCTCTTTTTGATCAATGAGTCACTGAATTTCTCAGTATCAATTGAGACTGATGGTAGATCTTGGAAGATTGGACATGTGAGTATGATTCCTACCTAGCAAGATTCATTGTTCGAGCCACTCTGAATCATCAAATTCTCATGCCTGAAATTGTCTTGTATGAGTGTACTGGTGTGAGTATTATTCATTGTATCATTGTATATGACTTGATTAAATAACTCTTAGTGAGAGACCCAGTAATTTACAATGAACACTATGATTCCAAGACCATGACTTTCAGCGCCAGATTTGTGCTCGTAAGTTTCCAAATTTCCTGGAAAGGAAAGGTAGTAAAAGCACAACCAACTACAATTCTAAAATCCGAAAGTCCGCGTCAATATCTATCTTATTTAGACATATCTACATACCAACAACTATCTTCAAAATGGGGATTCATCAGGAGAATCAAAATTCTCTCCCTACTGCTGCGCACATTCCAACGCGTGAAGAACTTCCCTCCACATCCTTCACATCTCCAAATACCGATTTCATTCATACAGCGACTGTCGCACCACCCGCCATCCGGTACGGACATCAGGTGATCTACACTCCATCTTTCCAAAGCACCAGAGCGCATCGCGGATCAGATGGACATAAATCGGCTGATGAGGATGGGATTGTTCATTCCTCGTTATTGGAGATTTTTCCTCAGAGTGTTGATAAAATGGCGCTGAGAGAGAGGATTGAAAAATGGATGGAGCAGGTTGAGCATGGGGAGTGGGAGACGGAGATGGAGACGGAGATGAAGACGGAGAGTAAGAGTAAAGAGGGGGGAGATGAGGTGATGACGGGAGGAGTCTCTTGTTGTAAGAGTCGTAAGAGTCGTAAGAGAGATAGGAAGGGGAGGTATGTGGTGGGTGGTGATGAGGATGAGGATGAGGATGGTGGTGGAGTACGTGGAAAGAAAAGTCGTGTGGGAGAGTGAGGGGATGGAGATGGAGATGGAGATAGTGAAGGAGGGATGTGTGAGGTTTGTGAGAGGGAGATAGTGAAGGATTTGAAAAGAAAGTATTCTCTTGAGGAGCGGGAATACTGAAAGGCTGAGACTCAGATATCATGGATATACTGTTTAGAGCGACTTGAACGAGTGAAAGCTTATTGTTCAAGTGAGGCTTGGATTTTTATGGATAGGCGCACGTATGCACTTCTTGAGACTTGGGGTTTCTTAGCTGTTGTAGTTTAATATCATCGATGCTTTTGGTTTTTTCTTCTCTTTGCCTGGTTTTAAAATTGTTGGTTTGTGGAATTATTTAAGGAGTGAACTTTATCATACAGATTGACTTGAGTGAAATCTAATGCAACTACCTACTTGAAGAGTTTCTTGGCACCATCTCCTCTTGTTCAAGCTGTCTGAACTCCTGAAACCCCCCTTTACTAAAAACACGATAAAAATTACATTCCTCTCCTCTAACAACAAATCTTCTCAACCTTCACATTTTCCCTCCAACAAACCAACCCCAGCCCAAAATCCCCGCTGCCACGGCCAAACTTCCTCCCTAGGTTTCCACTCCCGAATCGCCCCCGGCACTTTCCTCCACTCTCCACACCACCATTTCCAATCTTCCACCGTCGGCACGCGATACCACGCCCAACCAACTCTCCCAGATTTCCCAGCTCTCGGATCTTTCCCAAACATTGCATTCTTGATCGCAATCTCATCCTCATCAATCGCCCAGAGATACTCCCACTCTCCATATAAATATGGTTTCTTCTCTCCATCTTCCGGAACCGCATATTTCTCATCGATAAATCCCATGATCATCCAATCATCAACTCGTTGATTGGGACCTTGAGATTGTAGAATTAGATTTTTGGCACAGTCGATGAAGGATTCTGCTGCTTGTGCATATGTGCTTTGACGATCTGGGGTAAGCTCCTCGTATGAAGTTATGGAAGTGTGAGCGCTTCCATTCATGTAAGTGATTCGATTCATGAGTTGGTTTGCGAGTAGGGTTTTGGTTCTGTGAAATCCTTTGTGTGGGTTTCGACCGGTGAGACTGGTGTGGCGGTTAAGATTACTAGTGGAGGTATTGTGACGGGGTTTTGCAGAGGGAATGTGGATGGGGTTGGGTGTGGTAATTGTTTCTCCGAAGGCTTGCGCCCATGTTGTGGACCATCGAGTGGACCACCAGGTTGAGGATTGTGGTGCTTCGTTGTTGGATTGGGATTTGGTTTCTTCTGTCTTGTTTTGTTCATTCTGGTATGGTTTGTAAACAGGAGGTTTTTGCTCCGGAGACCATGGAGATTCTGAAAGAGGGGCCCTGGTGTCAGATATCTGGCTTCCCACGACGTCGGCAAAGTAGGCTTGGCTGGGTGGTGAAATGATCACTTCTGATGCGTTGGCCCATCCAGTGGAGACTCGTGCTGCTTCATTGCAAATATCATCGTTTGCGTCTTTGGGGTCATCGAGTTGGAGATCATGGAACTTGTCTGGTCCAGTAAGGTAAGACCCCGTTGAATTGTATGAGGGAGGCTCTTCTTTAGACCAATGAGGTTCTTCAAGGTCTATGGCATTAGTGATGGGTGGTGGACTTAGTACGGAGCCAAGCATCTTGAATGGTTGATCTGTATTTTGTATGTTGATGAATTTGGAATGTGTATTGTGTGCAACGACGAAAAGTTATCGGCTTGAATAGATTGTTTCTGAGGATTTGAGGAATGGCAACAGCGAAACTATATAGTACCATATTGATTAGTATCATGATTCCTCTCGTTTTGTTTCTTTTACATGACTGGATTTGTTGATATCGACTGTATGACTTATTCGAAACTTTCGAATCTGAGTCAAAAATGTTGTGTGATAGTCATTAGGAAATTAACATCATGAATAGTTACAAGTCAAGTTCGGATGAGAATGTATGATTTGAGAAATATGGAATTGCTACTAATACAGAGGATATGAAAACGTCTTTGAACATAAGTACCCACAGAGCGATATCAGGTAGACCCCTCCCTTTGCTCCTATGCTCTCCGAAACATCAAATACTTCCAACTCTCAACAATCTGTCTTGGAAATTCCCAACTATTCAACCTCTTTTGCACCGCTTAGGTCTAATATTCTCCTTTTCCACGCCTGGTATAGTTGGATTCTACTTGCTTCTGAAGGTCCAATATCTAACTCATGTTTTTCCTCTGTGACTTTCTCACTTATTTTGGTTGATTGCGAGTTATGACAATGACTCTCATCCTTGTTGTCTTCTCCCACTGTGATGGTGTTCTCGGAAAAATCATGATACTGCTCCGCACTGGCCCGATCAGCCAAATTGCAAGTAGACGAGTTTTCGGGTGCAGGTAAAGGCCAGTTTGAATCGTTGAGAGGAGCTGGAGGTACAGATTTGGTTTCGGTTGCTGCTTCGGTTGCTTCTTTGATATGAGTGTTGGCTTTATCCTCGATTTCCACCTTGGGTGGCTTCGAGAACAGTCTATTAGAGAAAGTACGGATGTTTGGCTTTAGAAAATGTGCTCGAAAGAGGTTACTAATGTGCACTGATGTCTTGTGTGTAACGATGTTGGTCTTGAGGAGTTGGTTTTCTTGGACCAGCTTCCTTTTCTCAACATTTCCACTCGTCTCGACTCGTTGACTTTCTCCAACCTGTTGTCTTTCAACAGTGGAAGATAAGATAGTATGAGCCCTTTGCGTTCTCAATTCTCGAAGTCGGACAAGATGATGTTCGGGCAGATACATCACTGGGAGACTTGGTATTCCATCCTGAAAGATATTGCCGATTGATATTTGGGTATTTGGTGATACGCCCACATTCTGCTGTATAGATTCCTCAGGTGAATGGACTGGAGGTTTTTGTATTTGTTGCATAGGTGGCAAAGTATGCTTTTGTTTGTGGTACAGAAGCGCAGCTTTGTGAAGTTCGAGTTGATCGGGAGCTTTCGAGGGGTGTTTGGAGAAAAGCATTTTGAGCACGAGGATGGTTGAGCGGGTCACAGATGCTTTGATAAAATATGGATCACTTTGATATGAAAAGCTTGATGGATCGTTCTGATTTGCTTTGGCAAATGTAGTGAGAAATGGGATTGAGTTGAGAGTATTCAGAAATATATACAGCTCCCGACACCATATTCCGCTGACTCTACAAGGTATTTCGAATCATTTGAATATATTTAACAGGCAAAATGTCCGCTTGGAATTTGTCAACGATAATACACAGTCAGGAAAATTTAATTTTTGAGTCAATACGTACAGATAAGAAAATGAAGCTGCAGTGAATACTTACCCCTAGCCCCAGGATAAACCCTCTCACTCAAGTCACAATGAAAGATAAAGGCACAATAATAATTCATATTGAATCTCAATACCTCTGAGCCGAACTCAAAGGCGCTCAACATACATAGCACCTCTTTTCCAAAAAGCCTCAACCTTTACCAAAATCACGCCCCTTTTGACGAGTAACACGTTCTCACACACAATTTCCAGAAGTATAACAATCTCCTTTCCACAAGTTAGCAATCGAGTCTTCGTGTTAGATATATCAAATATCGTACCTAAATAATCGCAGGTTCTAGATTCCTTACTTTTGAGGTGGCTCGATTCCCAGCACACTTTTGATCTGTTGCATGGCGGTAGGAGGAGAAGAGGCAGTGTCTAAGCCCTCTTGGCTAGAAGTCTCGACACGTTTTGGGCCTGCGGGTTCCCGTAGACCGAGACTGCTAAAGGAGGTATATGCTGGTTGACGAGAAGCTCTTGGGTATTGTTCGCTGTTTGTTGATTTGGGATCTGGCGATTGTATGGCGGATTTTGTTTCATGAGTTGGGTGTATAGCCTTTTGGGGGGTAGGAGGCGGAGTTAGGTCTGAGGAAGTTGGTAGAGGAGTGTCAAGTAAGAGGGTTTGGAGGTTCATGAAGGAGTCTGTGGTTGGACTATCCATAACTAGTGTCGTAAGGTCTCAGGTAATAGATGGCTCACTGGTGTATAGAAAGATTGGAACACTTGATTATTTGTAGAACGATTGGATTTAGAAGCTATTCTTGTCTTCAGTGTTGCGCAAAGATCTAGTACAATATACCTGGAGAGTTGTATCAAGGGTCAAGAATGGTCTAGCACAGAAATGTGACATCAAGTCTGAATGGACCATTGTTGGCATCCTTGTATTGAATAATCATTATCAGCCCACTTGACTGTGAATGAATACTTCTTATCTACCTAAGCCATCAGAAAAGAGTGAAAGTTACTCAAAATCATGTGTAAGCCTCAGTGGCTTTAGGTTCTCCAGACAACCATTAACCTTATCGTTATGAATAGCATGTAAATCTCAAGTAAACTGTATCATTTGAATGGACCATCTCGGGTTCAAATTATTCTCGATCTGTAAACGCCATGCAGGTTGACTATGCCTTTCGAACCCAAAATCCAGACTGATTCCCACAACAACACCTGGACAGAGCCATCGAATCTAGCACGAATATCTATCATAATGCCCCAAATCATAGAACCAGAGAACAAACTCGTCAGAAGGCTGCCCCTTGCCTGTCGATAAATACTCCTTTCGGACGATCTCCAAATCCTCTAATACCTTTCTATCGATCCACTCCATGCCCATTCCCATCTTCGCAGCCTTTTTCTTGTAACGACGCGTGAGGGCTCGTGTAACTCGAGGAAAGTTTTTCGAGTTCGAGGTCATCAGATTAGAGGCTGGGGCAATAGTTGTAGAAGTAAGGCGCTCGGGTTCTGCGTTGCTAAGGAACATGGTTACTGGCATGTAAACCAGGAAGTTTGACGGAGTATCGTTTGCTTGAGGATACTTAAGTTCTTGTGAAGAATATTTAAGCAATTCATTCAAGTGGAGAGTTCTCGTGCTATCTATCTAGACCTTAAAAGTGTAATATAAGCCATGCATTGCTCACTGTGATTCAGATATTTTCTATGTATAACTTAATAAAGGAATGTTTCAACTACGTATTTTGGTATCATCAAGCAACAATTCGAAAGCAAGCGAAAGCATCAGACAATCACTGTTCCCAGGCCGTGTCCAGGATTTTCAGAAGCCAGGACTGCATCTTTGCATTCAGAAGGTTTCAATTTGTGAAACCAATCAGACCATTCCAATCGTTTTGAGATATTGGATTTATTCTAACTATTGGACTACTTTCAAACATCAAAAGCTTACACCAGTCCCCCAGTCCCCCAGTCCAAATGATGAAACGCCTTGCCTCCAGATTATCATTATGCGTGCCTCCAGCGAGCTCCAGCTTGCCACGCTCCGTATCTGAGCTTGTCCAATTCAATCTGGTCCTTTCTAGCACCGCAAAAGTCGATGACAGCATTGTCATATGATTCATCGAACCATTCCAATCCTTCGCATTGATGTGAATTTGTGAGTTTGTCGGAAGTTCCATGAGCATTTTCGAAGTTCTTTATTTGAATGCGAATCAGCTGCTCAATCAATTTATGCTTTGCATCCTGCAAGTCATTCTTCATCAATAAGGTTGCACAGGACGAAGGATTGGGTAGCGTCTTGTGCCTGTTGTTGTTGATACGTGCGGAGAATTCTTGAAGCCTAAAAATGTATGGAGAACATGGAATGTTTAAGAACTCTTTGAACTTCTTCTCATGACCATACCATAACACCTCTTTAGCTAGAGCTGGTAGTGGAGGATTTTCTGAGCAAGCAATTTGCGTGGAAAGCGATAACGTGATTACGGGTGGAATTCGTGGATCTTCGTCAGGTACCGAATCTTTCAATAGCATCAAGTATTTCTCGGACGCCAACCAAGCCTCAGATCCGACCAATGACATATTGCCTGGAACTGGACAGCTGTCATACATTGAAAGGTTGACAGTTTTTGAGACAATGTATTTTCGGCAGCTAATGAGGATTTCTTTCAGAATACGGAGACCAAAGCGTCGGTACGAAAGACTGTGTGATGTGTATTTACAATGTTGATATGTATTCAGTTGATCCAAAAAATGCTGGAGCGTTGCAAGAAAACTTTGTTGAAGTTTAGGTGTGAGGAGAAAACACCACCAATGAGGATGTTTATACATAAAATTCGAACAAATAATGATTCAGACATTTTTTTTTTTTTTTTGGAAAATATGACTCCAAGAGAGGAAGATATGAATAATCGCTAGAATTATCATTGAGCTACCATCTCCCAATCATATCACTACTCCTCACAAGATATGGTGCGCTTCAAAGTTGTGGCTTCGTAGTATTGAACTGCATAGTCCCACGCATCAAAATAATCAATAACGTCCTTTTGCGATGGATGTTTCCCATTATGACCTTCCTGATAGACTCGAACAAAAAATGAGATTTCTTGGTTGACAATCTTTGAAATCTCCATATTCTTCATGCGCTGGAGGTTGCAATCTTCCACCGACTGATCCATGACTTCACAAGGAGCATCAAATCCGACTTTGATGAGGTGTATCCGCACGGGCAACGTATAATCTTGCGTATGGTAAAGTTCATATAACCTCAGGCGGTGTCTGAAATTGAGGATTTTAAGAGCATTATTGTAATTAGAAAATTTCATGCCCAGTCTGCTTTTTAAATAATCCAACGTATCAAGATGTGGTGCAGGCATCCTATGCATACCATCAACGCTTGAGTATGCTGGAGGTGCTTCTTCCATGTAGGGACTGATCGAGTTTTCCTCCAAAGACATGGCTATAGTCTTTCGCTGTAGATTTTAGGGTTGCCACAAAGCTGACGAATACAAAGAAACATGGATTTTGAGTTCTGCTGTTTCTGGAACGTCTTGCGAAGAAAGTTATGAGTCTCAAGACTTGATCGAAACGAGAAGAATTATGTGCACGAATAGATGGAGTGAAACTGCTTCGATAGGAATAGAAGAAACCAAAAGATACACTTCAATATTGATGCACCGTTTGCCAACCTATTTTATATATACAACATGAAATTATGAATGATTCAGAGCGGCAGATGTTCCGCAAACAACCACGCGACGTGAGCATCACTTGATGTATACCTCCAGTCGTACAAATCTGTTTACACAATGGCTGCTTTGACAGTCTCGGACAATATATTGAGGCTGCAAGTACTAGTCATCAGACCAATAGATCTATCACAAACATAGTAACAGTACGATTATCGACTTTTGGTCCATCTAGAATAACCACTTGGGTATCATCGGTACCGGGCTTTGCAAGTTTATGATGTATGGTTTTCAGCTCGAAGTTGTTAGACCGTGTTCTGCGGACACCAATATCATATTGAGCACCGTAAAAACTCCAAAGCTGTGGAAAGGAGGTCCCTGAAGAAGGCAATCATCTCCACAACGAAGCCCAAAGGTAATATTGGCTCTCCGGAGATAAGCATGTGTCTACAAGCATTATTCTAAATACCTAGGATCTGAGGGGGTTCAAGATGCTTTGGGCCAACTTCTGGAAAATGCGCTCCACACATCGACAGGAACCAAACACTTTGTGCTGATTCAGGTACAATACTATTGTCAGATATTGCCCAGGTGCCATTACTACCCACCGGATCTCCCGAGTGAGATAGAACAGATAGATTCGGAAGCAAATGTAGTCAATGTTATGTGACTTAAGCCAGTGAAATCGGATGAAGATCGATGTACCAATAGCCACAAAGTTATCTTTCATTGATATTCAAGATACCAAAATGATATTTGATCCACGCTCCAGGATAGCAATTTATTGATATCGTCCTTTCGGATTTCGCAACTCACCGCCCGATAGCGGTGAGCAAATGCGGGATTTAATGCTGGTAATATATATTACCCCAACCCAAATTTTTCTTCCTTCTCAATACCCCGCAATCATCAAACACCCCACCATACGACATCATGGAGAAAACTATAGGACTTTTGGGAGGAGGGCAATTGGGGCAGATGCTCTGCGAAGCTGCGAATCCTCTCGGTGTCAAGGTTATTATTCTCGATGCACCAAACTCCCCAGCCAAACAAGTCAATGCTAAGAATGACCATCTTGATGGCTCTTTCATTGATGCTGAGAAAATCCGCGAACTTGCAAAGAAAGTAGATGTTTTGACAGTGGAGATCGAACATGTGGACACATACGTATTGGAAGAGCTCGCAAACTCTGGAGTGGAAGTTCAACCCAGTGGGTAATCATTTTGATATTCATTATGAATATGTTGGTTCAAACTTTGCAACAACACTAATATAACTTTAGGCTGGAAGACATTGCGAGTCATCCAGGACAAGTATTTACAGAAAGAGCACCTCATTAAAGCCGGAGTACAGACTGCGACATCACAAGCGGTAGAAGCTGGAAATCTTGAGGAGTTCGGGCGCACATACGGATACCCATTCATGCTTAAGGCAAGGAAAGACGCCTATGATGGACGAGGCAATTGTCCTGTGAAATCGGAATCCGATATCAAGAATGCACTTGAAGTGTTAAAGGATAGATCATTATATGCTGAGAAATGGGCAAGCTTCAGAATGGAGCTTGCGGTAATGGTTGTGAAGACAGAAAACGAAGTTTCCAAAGATGGGGACTCTACGATTGCATACCCGGTCGTCGAGACAATCCACGAAGATAGCATCTGCAAGTTAGTTTACGCTCCAGCAAGAGGAATTTCCGGTGATCTCCAAAAGAAAGCACAAGCCTTAGCGCGCAAGGCAGTGGGTAGTCTTTGGGGTAAAGGTGTTTTTGGAGTTGAGCTGTTTGTTATGGAAGATGGTGAAATACTAGTTAATGAGATTGCTCCTCGCCCTCACAAGTGAGTATTTTGAGGCGCCATTTCAACAGGCAAATTTGGACGAGTACTGACACAATCTTCCTATAGTTCGGGACATTACACAATTGAAGCATGTCCAACCATGTCGCAATACAAATCTCAACTTCTTTCAATATTAGGTATCATGCCATCCTTCCCCAACTCAGCTATTCCTTCCATGTTTCCCGCAACTATCATGTTGAACATCCTTGGTGGAGCGTCAAAAGATTCCCACAAGGAGTTGATGCAACAAGCCGCCGCAATCCCCACGGCCAACCTTCACATGTACGGTAAAGAATCCAAGCCAGCTCGCAAAATTGGTCACATCACTGTCATTGGTAGCTCTATGGCTCAAGCTGAGCAACTTATTTCTCCCTTGATCACGCTTAACGATAACATGCGCGCCGAACGAAAAGGTCTCCCTAAATCCACATCCACCACAATCTCATCTCCATCTTCACCTCAAAAGCTCGTCGCTATTACTATGGGTTCAGACTCCGATCTCCCCGTTCTCAAACCCGGTCTTGCTATCCTTGATTCACTTCAAATTCCATACTTCCTTACTATAACATCTGCGCATCGTACACCACAACTTATGGCAGATTTTGCACGCGATGCCGCTTCCAATGGCTTTAAAGTTATCATTGCTGCTGCAGGTGGGGCGGCACATTTACCTGGTATGATCGCTGCGCAAACCCCTCTTCCGGTTATTGGTGTACCAGTAAAGGGAAGTACATTAGATGGAATGGATAGTCTTCTGAGCATAGTACAAATGCCAAGAGGAGTTCCTGTCGCAACTGTTGCTATTAATAACAGCGTCAACGCAGCGCTGTTAGCAGCAAGAATAATCGGAGCCAGTGATAGTGTGGTGTTCGCAAAGATGGAGGACTATATGAAGAAAATGGAAGATGAAGTTGTTGGAAAGAAAGGAAGATTAGAAGAGGTCGGATGGGAGGGATACTAGATTTTGAAGGATGTAGAATCACATTGATACCACGCATTTCAACTATGCACACGGGAATATTTAAATGAACAATAGACAAATAAAATCAGCAACTAAATTCTCATTTGCTTGATGTATCTACTTAATTGATTTCTTTGCTAAATACCTATCAACGCCTGACCTCCGAACCAGAAAATATCGAGGAAGCATAAGGTGAAAAATCACGAGAATTGCGTCCTTAATTGAACCATTTCCCTTTCACTTACTCCATAGACTTATCCACGAAACTGGGCTCTCAGTGCCATCAATTGTGCCCTATCAGCTGGTGGCAAACTATCGATCAATTCCTGTGGCATGGCCATAACTTGCGCCATCAACGCATCTGCATCTGGTTCGGCTACTTGAGCTGGTGGTGGGGGAGCTTGTCTTTGTTGTGGAGGAGGTGGCGCATAACCTTGCACTGGCGGCGTACCCATCATTGGCAAACCCATCTGGCCTGACATATGTGGAGGAGGAGGGGGATACCCAGATGGGTATGCCGAACCTCCATATTGAGGAATAGCCGCAACGGGTGGAGGGATACTTGGGACGGGGGGAGCGGATACTGGTGCTGCGATCGATGATTCGATAACGGACGAGAGGGCTTCGGGTTGAACAAGGCCCATCAGAAGAAGGGCTTGGAAAACGGCATAGGAGAGTTGGGGAGCTTGATGGAGGAGTTCGGTCGCTTTTTGAGGATCGGTCGAGGCAAGGGTCTTCATTTGAGAGAGTACATCGAGAAGTTGGGATGGAGGGAGAGTGTTGAGAGTGCGAGAGATAGCATCAGGGCAGGTGAGGCCTTGGGGTAACTCGATGCCTATTGGCAGAGGCGGCAATGGGGCGGTGTTTGAGGCTTGAGGAATTGGTAGAGATGGAGGTGGAACTGGAAGGCCATTTGTATTGAGAGGGGGAGGTTGATAGTTTGGCGCAGACTGGAAATGAAATGCAAATTAGCACACTCTCTTGGCAGATCGGATTATTATAGGGTATAAGCTCGACATACATTCTCTTCCTCACCACCATCATTTGAGAAATCAACGCGCAATTTTCGATTCATAATTTCGTAGTCGTTTAAATTCCTTACTGCAGAAGCTGCAGAATCTAGATGGACGCGCAAAAATTTAGCAGTGTAACCATGGATGGGAAAGTCGCAAACCAAACACGCAGTGTACTGCACGTACCTGAATCGGGATATTCTGCGAAACCGAAGCCTTTGGGTCTACCTGTTTCGCGATCATAGACAAGTCGAAAATTGACAACATTTCCCGCGCTGCTGAAGATATCTATTATCTGTTCCTCGGTAAGACCTTTTCATACGACATAAATTAGCTTGATACGGTACAGCGATGACGACCGGTCAAATAGAAAGAAGATAAATTACCATAAGGAATATTTCCAACAAACACAGACTTGGAAGGAGGTTTTATTGACATATTGAAAGAGATAATGAATGTTCCAGACTATGGAAATATGCGATGGACAGAGTTGAGATGATTTTGTTTGCAAGATTTGACCCTTTAGAAAGGAATGCAAATGGATTGATCACTTCTTTTGTCACTGCAAAATTGAGAAATGGCACAGAAAGTCTTTGAAGAAGTGATTTCTGGCTACTCTAAAATCCTTCTTGTCCTCTTCCTTATGAGCACCGACAATCCAAATCCCTTTTATAATTGCGGAAGTAAGGGCGATTAACAGTACTGCCTCTGTTGCGAGAAAATTCGATTTTTTTATATTGTTTTGAGCAGTATGGAAGGGGAATACGTCCTCGATAGAAATGATAGTAAGGTTTAGTTCATCGCGCTTCACGACTTTCACTATGGCTTGGCGTCAAAGCTTGTGTGGAGTGAAGGTGCGGCTAAATTAAAAATACGCTAGGACGGTTTTCGTTGATCTGATCATAGAGCTTCACAAATTCCCCCTCC